AATAACTCGAGAACGCACGAACCGATTTCGACAATTTTGTATTAGTTGGAAAGGTCTCGGGCTCCGCAAGGTTTATAGCTAAAAAATTAGTTGTGAACGGCATCGTGCCTTAATGCAAGCTGCTGGACTTTACGCGCCGTATTTAAAAATTCGAGTAATGACATTAGTGAGAATTATCAGAATTATGCTTGGTTAAGTCAACGAGCAATTCTTGCCGCAAAGAATAATAATGTACACGCACAGAATTTCACATTTAATCAAAATTGCTGGCGATTTGTGACATACCAATGATTCCGACTGGTCTTCCGTTTGACTTCAAACGATTGCAATTTCCAGTTTGCCTTGCGTTCGCAATAACAAGTCTCAAGGCCAATCGCTTAGTGTTTGCGGGATAAATTTCAAATAGATTATTTAGAAAATCATATTTTCACATAGGCAGTTATACGTTGCCTATTCACGAGTTGGAAACCATCCGCTTTGTTTGTGTTAACGTCAGACCAAAAAACAAAAAATGTGGTTTTACCAAAGATCACTTCCATGAAACGGATAATATGCGGATTCACTTTCATTTACTTAGAGAAGTTCAACTAAAAAACACTTCATTTTTGTAATCGAAATAAATTCATTACTGTTGTGCAATAAATCAAATTTTTCCTTTTCCAATATAAAACAAACAAAAAATTTCTTCATCTTTCTCACGAAACCATCTGGTGGCGAAACGGAGTTCGTCGGGTTTGCTAGTTTTAAACTAAAAAAACAAGTATGCATTAGTGAAAAAAGTAGATACTAGTTTTAGGATGAGAAAGCATCCCGAGCTTATCCTTTTAATACATTTCTCTAACAAATATCTTATCATACTTCCAGGTTACCTCCTTACCCGTACGGAAGTAAAATTGGTTCTCCTGAAAAGCCTCTATCAGATTTGGGATTGATATCTTACCGGTCTTATTGGAAAGACGTTCTTTCTTCTGGCTTATCTGTGCTCGAGGGATGGAACTACTCTATCGGTCAAAGATGTTTCTCAAGAGATGGCCATCAATAGTTATGATATTGTCAGTACCCTACAGCTTTAGGAATGATGAAATATTGGAAAGAAAACATATAATTCTGAAAAAATTGGTAAGTATATATTTTTTTTCAGAAATTGATTCGGTATAAAAATAGCTAACATGAGAATGGATTTATTATACTTCAGGATTGTGAAGTAATTTCTATGAACAGTTGTTAAATTATAAGATTTATTATTATTTATAAAAGTGTCGAAGAGTTTGTAAGATTAAAGAAACACTTATTAATTTTTCATTGATAGAAGTTATCTGAGAGATGTAGAATATTATATTTGACACAAGTGAATAATAAATAGAACCTGAACCATCTCAGTAAATATCCTACAATTTCGTGATCTATATCTCAACGCGTAACAAGATAATATTGTGACACGTTTGACGGCATATGTCGACGTATGTTTAGATATGTTATGAATACTTGTTTTAGTAGCAACAGGATCACATCATAAGTTATTTTGCTTTCTGACGTCATCAATTTTCGCGCTTCCTGTTAATATACATCATTTCGCTGACTTGACGTCGAGCAATTTCTCGCACATGAGATTCATCGCATATTTGCCCCTGACTGACTTAATTTGACTTCTGGAATTATAGAACTACTGTATAGCTTGTGTGTATACAGTCAACCCTCCGATAACGTTGTACTATTAGAACGCGGTTTCCATACTAGACAGGCTTAAAATTGTAGCACGGTTTATAACACGGTCCTCCTAAAGCGGTCGAATTATATACATGAATAATTATTCAATGATATCTTGCTATAAGTTAATACATGGCATATTATTATTCAGTTTTTTTATATTAATGAGTCTGTAACCTTTTTTCAGGATGTGCTCGAAGAATATGCAGAACGTGTCAAACGACGCGGATCTGTACGAGAGATTGATCCATCTTGCCTACGATGGTCACCTTTCGTGCACCAGCGAATCCGTCTGGTAACTCTGGTAATAATGGTAACTCAGGTAACAATGGAAACTCTGGCGGCGGTTCGACTGGCGGTTCAAGCGGTAACTCCGGAGGCGGCGGCGGTAATTCCTAGCGCTGCGACGATCTCATCTCACGGTTGTGAAATATCGATGGATGGCGCGGGCGTATATTATCGGCGGTAAGATTTGAATATAGCGCGCCTTGGGTGAGTAATTTTATTATTTTAAATTATTTTATATGGGTTTTATGTATATTATTTATTATTTACTATTAATTTTTAATTGCGAAAAATTTCATAAAGAAACGCGTGGATGATTGTGCAATAT